AAGTGTATGGGTATGTGTGTACCGTATTATGCATGGAGGTCAGAGGGCAACTTGTCGTCAGGCTTAGTAGCAAGCACTTTTATCCACTGAGTCATCTTGCCAACTTTCCTATTTATTTATACTCAGAGCTCTGGGGAATTCTTAAAGACACACACACACACACCCAAAAAAGTTTCAGCCTTGTGTTCTATGTTGTTCTTTTGTACTGTGTCTCAGTAAACCTTTTCAGTTGCCTTTTCCAGTTTCACTTAGGAAGGCAACACCTCAAGTATTGTATCATGTAGAGTATTGTATCATGTATAGTATCAGGATGCAGTCTGTGGCACTTTTTGTTTTTCATACAGCTTTTCAAGCTGGCTAAGCAGAATTCTCTGAGCAGAAAGACTACATGCTTCCCACTGAATGTTCCCTCCAAATCATGCACTAGTTTGGCTTGGGTTTTTGGGGAAGATTTCTGTTGAGGAACTGTAACAAAAATTATGATAGCTTTCTGACCACTCCCAGCTTCAGTAGATATCCTTGGCTGCTGTGATGTTGAGCTCCTTCAGCTGGGCTGTGAGGTTCAAGTCTGTCTCTGGTGTGATTGTCATCTGGGAGATACCCAACTCAAACTTGTCTGTTTTCCTACTTGGTAGGGCTCATGGTCTTAGCACTTGGAACTGAACATGCTTCATGAATGCTGGCTCAGGAAAGACCCACTTGATTTTCTATAATGTTCATTTCTCTGCTGACATTCCGTGTCAGCTTATTTCTCACTTTGAGGATTTGAACATATTCATGCTTTCGTCTGCTGATGTAATGTAGGAAATCCGTGCCTTGGTATCTTCATCCCTCTTTTTGGTTTCTCCACTACAAAATAGACCTAGATTGCCAGGCAGTGGTGTCAAAAGCATACCTTTAATCCCAGCACTCGGGAGGCAGAGGCAGGAGGATCTCTGTGAGTTCAAGACCAGCGTGGTCTTCAGAGCAAGTCCCTGACAGGCTCCAAAGCTACACAGAGAAACCCTGTCTCAAAAAACCAAAAACTAACAACAACAAACCTAACTCCAGCAGTAATCACTCTACTTGCCCCCAATCCCTGTACCTTGGCAACATTAACGTTTTTTTTTTCCCTTCTATTGGTTTCCCTATTTTGAACATTATGGAATTGTATGATACATAGCCTTTTATATCTGACACTTTGCCTAAACTTAGTTTTCTTTTAAGAATTTCCCCGTGTTACAGTATGTCTTAGATAGGGTTTCCATCCCTTCGACAAAACACCATGACCAGAGAAAGCAAAGCAGGGGAGGAAAGGATTTATCTGGTTCACACGTCCACATTGTTCTTCATTGAAGGAAGTCAGGGCAGGAACTCAAACAGGCAGGAACCTAGAGGCAGGAGCTGATGCGGAGGCCATGGAGGGGAGCTGCTATGGGCAACCCTGTGGTTTGTTCAGCCTGCTTATTATAGAACCTGGGACCACCAGTCCAGGGATTGCACCACTCACAGTGGAGTAGGTCATCCCCCATCAATAACTAAGAAAGTGCCTTATAGATGAATCCTTTTTTAAAAGATTTATTTTTTCAAATTTTGTGTACATTGGTGTTTTTGCCTGTATACATGTCTGTGTGAGGGTGCCAGATCCCTTGGAACTGGAGTTACAGACAATCGTGAGCTACCTTGTGGGTGCTAGGAATTGAACCGGGTCCACTGGAAGAGCAGCCGGTGCTCTAAATCACTAAACCATCTCTCCAACCCTTATAGCTGGATATTATGGAGACATTTTTCTCAATTAATGTTCTCTCCTTTCTGATAATTCTAGTTTGTGTGTCAAGTTGATGTAAGATTAGCCAGTACACAGTGTATACTTTGTTTTATGGTTGAAGTGATATCTTACATTTCATTAAGCCAGTACTCATCATTTGGTAGCTATTTGAGTTGTTTCCATTTTGGGTTATTATGAGTTATTATTATGGGTTATTATTTGGGTTATTAATACTGCTAAAAACATGTCCTAACAAGTTTTTGGTTTATTCTCATACATTCAAACCATTTATAAGGTTTTTTAATTAAAAATATTTATTTTTATTTTTTATTTATTCATTTTATTTTATCTGTGAGTGTTTTGTCTGAATGTTTGCAGATATCTAACGCATGCTTGATGCCTGTGGAGGTCAGAAGAGGATGTTAGATCCTCTGAAACTCCAGTGAATGTTGTGAATCACCATGTGGGTGTTAGGAATCAAGCCTGGGTCTTCTGCAAGAACAGTAAATGCTCCAAACCACTTAGATATCTTTCCAGATTCCCTCTTATGCGGTCTTAATTTCAAACATCATATCTTTAAAGTCCAAGATTTCTAATAAGGTTTCCCCTATTACTTTTTGTTTGCTTGTTTGGTTGTTTTTTTTTTTTTTTTTAAGACAAGGTTTCTCTGGGTAACAGTCCTGATTGATGTGGAACTCACTTCGTAGACCAGGCTGGCCTCGAACTCATTGAGATCTGCCTGCCTCTGCCTCCCAAGTGCTGGGATTAAAGGTGTGTGCCACCACCATCCAGCTACTTTTGGTTTAATTTATTATAGTGAGTTCTTGTTTCATGGCTTCTTTTTCTTTGTTGAAGGTATAGATATGCATTTTAAAATGTTTCATTACTGACTCCTCAGGTACAAGTTGTGTTATAGTTTTGATGGTGTCAAGCTTCGTCACTTGGTAGTTTAGAGTTATCTGTCCATATCTGTTTGCTTGAATACATCCCATGTTGACAAAGGGCAGGTCAAAAGTTCTCAGGGTCGCTGAGCCCTAGTCTTGAAAGGTGTGTATCTTAGATTGTACTTTACCTGGGTAATGAGATGCAAAGCTCCTGGATATAATGAATTGTGTAGTTCTGAGTCTTGTGACTACTTACATCACACGGCTAAGGCCTTTGTCACACATCACTGATGGTGCTACCAGCTTTCTTTTGCTGTAGCCATCCCTCAAGTGAGTAGACAGTGTTTATTCATGCCTGGTACAGGTGTGGGAGTCAAAGGACAACTTGAAGGAGTCAGTTCTCTTTTTCCACCACGTGGGACCTGTGGATTGAACTTAGGTTGTCAGGCTTATCAGCAAGTAGTCCTCTTTCCTTTTGTTTTCCATTTCTGGTCTATTACATTTTTCCTTTTCCTTTTTTCCCCCACCATGACTGTGTCTTTATTAAATGTAAAAATATTTGTTCTGGCCAGGCATTAGTGGCGCACACCCATAATCCCAGCACTTGGGAGGCAGATCTCTGAGTTCGAGGCCAGCATGGTCTCCAGATTGAGTGCCAGGATAGGCACCAAAGCTACACAGAGAAACCCTGTCTCGAAAAACCAAAAAGAAAAAAAAAGAAAGAAAAGAAAAAACAAATATTTGTTCTATATGTTTGAATAAGGAGCATGAAATTTCAACATAGGCTAAATTTATTTTGAAATAATTTGCTGCTGATTCTTTTACCTTTTTTTTAAGATTTAATTTATTTTGTGTACAGTGTTCTGCCTGTTGTTCCTGCAGGCCAGAAAATGGCACCAGATCTTACCACAGGTGTTTGTGAGCCACCATGTGGTTGCTGGGAATTGAACTCAGAACCTCTGGAAGAGCAGTCAGTGCTCTTAACTGCTGAGCCATTTCTCCAGCCCTCTTTTACCTTTTTATATTTAGTCTATATCTTGTTTGCTTGCTCATTTCTTTTTTGGTATGTAGAATGAGATAGTTGGAGTAGATGTTTTTAAAGTACATAATTTATTTTTGTTTATTTTTTAAACAATTTTTTAAAATTGTTATTAAGATTATTCTAAAGAAGTCAGAGATATTTAACAACCCGTTTTCTCTCCTGCATTAACATTTCCCTATCTCTATACTGCCTTACTAAGTTAAAGAGACGTGGGATTCAGGAACAGTTGATCCTTATTTCACAGAAAAGTAATTGAATCAGAAAAGAGAGATTTCTCTAACGTCAGGCAGTCAGTCAATGGTAAACTGAAGACGGATGCAGAGTATCTGGGTTCACTAGCAAGGTCACTGAGCTTCAGTGTAGCATAACCTTGCTGCCATTATATCCAGGGCTTTGTGACTGAATTAGATTTGAAGAACACAATGACAAGAAAAAATGTTACCCAGCCTCCTGAGTGCTGGGATTAAAGGCATATGACACCACCACCCAGCCAGATGTCGAGATTTTTATGTTGGGGAAAGCCCATACTTTTTTTAAATAGTTAAAGCACTATTTGATATGAGTATGATTACTTGTACTATTATTTCAAGGTGTTTTTTTATTGCCATTAGGCTTTTAAAGAAGTGGGGGTATTTTATAAAATGGGAGGGTTTTTTGCGTTTTTTGTATTTTGTAATTCAGGTACAGGAAATGGAAAAGAAAGATGGCACATACATTGATGTTCTCTTTGTGGTGAGTAATCTATGACTCACAGGTGCTCTGTGGAAAGCTAGCTCTGAGTCAACACATACAGACAGGGTTTCTCTGTGTAGCTTTTTAGACCAGGCTGGCCTTGAACTCACAGAGATCCGCCTGCCTCTGCCTCCCAAGTGCTGGGGTTAAAGGTGTGCACCACCACCATCTGGCTTGACTGCAAAATTTTTAAAAGCACATGTTTGAAACAGTCATTCTCCAATTTTTATGTTTTCAGCTCTAAATTAGTTCCTTTAATGGACTTGTGTTTATTAATGAACTGATTTGTTGAAAATGCAGGACTATCGGCTAGAATGTCTGTCACTGTACATGACTTTGTAGAAATTGAAATTTCAGGTTGATTTAACAAATCTAAAAAATTAAAGATATGAGATTAAGTATCTTTCCTCCAGAAACTAATTCTGAATATTGAAACAATTTACTGATGTGTGACCAGTTCCCATATTTTATGTTTTGCAGGTAATCTTTCATCAGGGGAAGGCCTTCTTGACTTATCAGTTTAATAAATACACCACAGATTCTGTTGCTTTACCCAAACTGATGTTCTGATTTGTTGACATTTCTTTTCTTATAGAAATACAATCTGTGCTGCCCAGATTCTCTGCAAAGCTGACTTGGGCTTCAGAGGAGGGTGACCATTCTCAAGACACATCAAGTGTAACTCCCTTCCAAGTGATTTTTAAGGCAAGTTTTCTTGTCCTTCTATACACTCTGATCATTTGACATTTTTGTTTGTTTGGTTGGTTTTGGGGTTTTTTTTGGGGGGGGGGTGAGACAGGCTTTCTCTGGGTTTGGAGGCCGTCCTGGAACTAACTGGAACTCACAGAGATCCACCTGCCTCTACCTCCCAAGTGCTGGGACTAAAGGCGGGGGCCACCATTGCCTGACCATTTGACTTATTTTTACACAATTACAAATACAGGAAAGAAAGCCTGGTTCCATCATAGTTTGAAGGTAAAGTAAAATAAAGGTGCTGTGCAGACATTAGATGACCTAGGTGCTTCCAAAATGATGATGTCTGTGTCCTACTGAGAGGCTGATATTTAATTGACCTTGGCAGCTGCATTAGTCTGGGCTTCCATACAAAATACCAATGGCTAGGTGGCTTAAGCAACAAAAATCTATTTTCTCAAGGTTCTGGAGGCTGAAAGTCAAAGACCAAGATGACATCTGGGCAGATGTGATGTTTGTGTCTGTAATTCCTGTGCTAAGAATTGGTTCCCAAAACAAACAAAAACCAAAATCTTCCAGGAAGCACTGGGAAGCATCTCTCCATGTTTGAATAACTGCATATTCCTTCTGGAAGGAACAGGCACAACATCAGGATACTCTGACTGTGCCTTATCTTCTCTAGGGAAAGGAAAAGTAAACAATCTGGAGCAATTAATGGTTAGTCAGCTTTGAAATTGCTGATGTCAAGAAGCAATAAAAAGGTGATTCCAGTGAACCAAGGAAAGCAATGCTAAGAATGAGAGCATGTGATTCAGCCAGTATCAGCAAATAATAGCTCACATGACCAACATTTACAAATATTTAAGCCTCTGACACCTCTGTGAAAGAATTATCATCCCCTTTTACAGATGACAAAATTGAGATTCAGAGAATTGGGCTGACTCCTAGTGTCGTATGAAAGTGGAAGAATTAGAGCTTAAACTGTCTGATTAATGTAGGTCAATGCAAGTTCAATATTTATTCATTTAGACGGCAGTGTCTGTTCAGATTAGTCACACTGAGCTAGGTCTTACGGGTATATATTCTCTGGATGTGTTATTTGATCTTAAGGAACTTGGAATATAAAGGAAAAACCCACATGTCAACCAACATTACAAAACATTAATAGATAGATGCCGTAATGAGGTAAGCACTGAGTGCTGTCCTAGCACAGAGGAAGGACACCTAACCCAACCAGAAGGGGCTCAGGTCTTGATGATACTGAAAAGTAGATTTGAATTTAGATAAATGCAAGACATAAGAGGTTATAACACTTGAAAGAATGAGATAATAAACTGTTTCCCTAAGAAAAATATAATTATGATTAAATCAGATATTTATAGTATATATAATATTTAGAGTATATATAATTTTCTTATCAAGGAATAACTGTTAATATATTGGTGTGTATCTTTTCCAGTTAGAGTGAGGCATTTAAGTTTAAAGCAGTGGTTCTCAACCTGTGAGTCGAGATTCATTTTAGTCAAATGACCCTTTCACAGGGATTGCATATTAGATATTTACATCACAATTCATAACAGTAGCAAAATTACAGTTGTGCTATAGCAATGAAATAATTTTAGGATTGTGGGTCACCATAATATGAGGAGAAGTGTATTAAAGGGTTGTAGTATTAGAAAGGTTGAGAACCACTGATTTAAAGTTTCCAGAATAAGTTGTAAGAGGTAACAATGGGAATAGCTAAAAATGAGTGGAAATCAAGGTCATGGTCGTTGAAGAGATCAGGGAATTGACTGAATTGTTTTTTAGTGTGATCATCTTGACAGGCAGATGAAACCTTTTTGCTATGCTGGGAGTTGAACCCAGGGCCTCAAGCATGCTGGATAAGCAGTTTGTCACTACACTCCTAGCTCCTTGGTTATGCACTTGGATGTAAAAGTCAGACTTTGAAGTACAGAGGGAATCTGTGAACTTAATGACCAGGAGTTAAGTCAGTGCTAGAGATGAAAGGTAAAAGAATACTATAGACTGGTGGTACTGGCCTCAAAGGAGTAAGGATTTCCTTAAAGTATCATTTCCATTGCATCTCCAATATCATAAATCTATTTTAAAGATATTTAAATGAAGAGAGTGCCTAAGATTTCATTGTAGGATTTTAGGGTGTGTGTGTGTGTGTGTGTGTGTGTGTGTGTGTGTGTGTAGGGTCAGGTCAAGTAGGAAGATTTACAGCAAACACTAGTTGAGACACCCATGAAAAGACTGAACCAAATGATCTATTTAGCTTGGTCATGTGAGGAAAGCTAATCTCTGGGAAATGCCTTGTATAAAAGAGATCGTGACTTTGGTGTTTATATGACTCCCTGCATGAGGCTGGATAACACCCCTTTCCAAAGCAGTATAATTTCTAAAACCTTAAGGAATGTATCCAGAGCCAGATGGTGGTAGTGGACACCTTTAATCCCAGCACTTTGGAGGCAGAGGCTGGTGGATCTGGATCTCTGTGACTTTGAGGCCAGCCTAGTCTGCATAGTGAGTTCCAGTATTATGTAGAGAGAACCTGTCTGAAAAAACAATAACAAACCCTTTCTCCAGTTTTATACTTATTTTTGTATAGTACTAAATGATAAAAGGGATGGAGATATGCATGCATACAAACACATATACACATATATTTATACCTTTTCATGTGAGTATGTATGCATTTATCTTGTCTGTCTGCCTGTCATCGTCTATCTTACCTATACCTATCAAGGAGGGAGAGAAGAAAGAGAAACTAATACTTTCTTCTGGAAAGTAGCCTCAAATATTACTGCATTAGTTCATGTTTGAAAATAAACCTCTAGCCGGGTGTGGTGGTGCACAACTTTAATCCCAGCACTTGGGAGGCAGAGGCAGGCATCTCTGAGTTCGAGGTCAGCCTGGTCTAAAGAGTTGAATTCCAGGACAGTCGGGGATACACAGAGAAACCCTGTCACAATAACAAAACAAAATAAACCCAACAACAACAACAGCAACAAACCCAAATAAATAAAATAAACTTCTAAACAGGGCACTTCTAAACAGGTTCTGCCCCCTCCCTGAAGATCTATAACAGTTAATGGGTAAGGGAGAGAAACATTTTCTTTGGTGGTATAGCCACTGGTATGTTGTCATGTTCCTGTATATATATATATAAAAAATAGTAAACTGATTGGTTCACTTTTTTAAAAAATTTATTTATTAGTTCTAGTTAGGGAACAAGCTTGTTTCAAGTCCCTTCTCCCTCTCCCTCCCCTCACCCCTAACCCTCCTCCCCCACCCCCAGTCTACCCACACCCCATCCACCCACCACTCCCCAGGCAGGGCCCTCAACTGGGGCTCTGCACAGT